CCACTCAATGAGCTCTTCAAGAACACCCTGGAACTGCAGGGCCCGCGGGTTCGCGTTTGCCCCCAGGGACCCATTCTGTAAAAACCTCGGTGTGCTCAAAGGGGAGAAATCCAACGACAGCTGCCAACATCTGCTTGCGCGAGCCTGGACGTCGCGCTCACGCCTGCAGCGTGAGCAGACGACGGACCTGTGGCTCACTACCAAGAGGAGAGAAGCGCCACCACTGATACACCTCACGAGTGGAAAGACATCGACGTCGCCCGCCCCCCGCCCCCCCCCCCCCGCGCGCGCGCGGACACGCGCGCACACGCGCACACACAAACACGCACACACACACACAAACACACACGCGCACACACACACGCACACACACACACACACGCACACACACACACACATTACACACACGCACACACGCCTCCCAGCTGGCCTCGCCTCGCATGGCTTTTCTGGCGAGACCGCCAACGGCCGGCTCCAAAGTCTGCGGCTGAGACGCCGCGGGCACAAAAGCTTCTACACCTGCAAGCGCTGCGTTGGCCGCGTGACACACCAGAACACATCTCCCCCCATCTGTGCAACGCCCCCTTCTAAACCATGACTGCCCCATCCTGCAAAACGCAGTCTCCATGGCTTTGATACTTTTCCACGAGCTCGACGCTGAAGCTCTGGGTGGGGGTCAAGAACGGGCCCAAGTGCCGCGCCTCGTCCGTCGCGCGCGTCTCCAAGCCTCTCACGGCCGCAGCAGCGACTCGCCTAGAGCTCTGGGGGACTCTGAGGAGCGCCTCCTATTCATTCAGATTCCTCTTCAAACCTCTTCTGTCAAGCTCCTCGTCTCAAACTCGTCGTTGTCTCTAAGAACCTCCGGGAACCGAGCTATGTTGAAGGGGGGCCTACAATCAGCTTCTTCTGGAGATCATCTGCGAACTTCTGGGGCCCCAAGTGTACCTGCGGAACCCTTGGGATCGTGGCCTCGGGGATCCTGGGCCACGTCGGCTGCTCGCTCTCGGGGTCGGCTTCCATGCGTCGCTCGAGTCACTGGTCGACTGGTGGACGAAAGACGCGCGCGAATGATCGAACCGCATGCGGATGGCCCCGGGGGGGGGGGGGGGGGCGCACCCAGGTCGGATGAAAAAGGGGGCCGTCGGCAGCAGGTCAGACGCAGCCGGCCCTCAGAAAACGCCGGCGACATACATTCAAGCCCCTGGGCTGCGCGAGGGCGCGACGGGGCCCGATCTAGCGCCCCCCACTCCGACGACGCGAAGGCGCGGGGGGGATCTTTGAGCGCGTCGACTCAAGAGTAACCTGCGCGCGAGAGGCGCCATAAGGAAAACCGGTTAGCTGCGACGGCACCCCCCCCCCACACGACGAGCTCTAAGGAACCCGCGGTCGCAGTCGGGGTCGACGCGCTGCGGCCCGATGCGCATCATGCCCTCGAAGAACCCCTTCCCCGCAGGATCATGTCCGCGCGCTGCCTTATTTCCTTTCGGCCCAGGCGCAGCCGCCTCCGGCAAAGCAAAGCACTTGCAAATGTTCCACAATCCTGGATCAGCACCCCATAAACGAATCATACAGAATACGTCGCGCAACCACTTTCGAAGTTTCAACAATGAACTCCATCGGCGATCGCGCGGTCCGTACCAAGTCCCGGGCGAGAACCTCCACCCCGCTGCTCGGCAGGCGCCGGAATGGAGGGGGGCCGCAACTCCCAGGGCAACGACCGGCCTGGAAAACCTCGCCTCTTGGACGCACGCGCGAACTGTCGTTCAAAATGCTCCATGTCGATCGCAGACCTGGCCAATGCTTGTTGCATTCGTTCGAACTGTTCGGGGGTAGCTGCCGGCCGAGACCGCAACTTTTGTAAAGCCGCCAAATCGTCCCAGCATGCTCTCGACGCTTGAAGGCCACCACTTCCCCCTGACTGAGACATGTGTGAAAACGATTCGTCGCCCGTGGGAAACATGCCATCAAGCCTGCTGAAATCACGCCTTCCTTTGCAGTATCTGCCTCCAGCAAGTCGAAGTGATAATATGTTTGCGTTCGCAAAATCACGACTGCACCATGCATTCCAAGTATCATCTACAAGTTGTTCACGCTTTCGCTGTTGATCAGCTTTGAGGAGGGCCTTACACTGCTTGGTCGAATAGGTATGTTCACCACAACATTGTCTGTACTCATCACACGAAAAATCATCGCTCAGCTTGGACCGAAGATCGCGCCTCCGGGCCAGTAGATCCAGCCGACGTTGGGCTAGCACAGAGCGAGCAGAACCAGCAGTGGGCCCCTTTTTTGAATATTTCTGCACCAGCGGCTCGAAGAATCATCTGGGATCTTTTTCCGGCGCAGCATTCGGATCCAAGCACGCATTGTTTAATATTTCCCCACTCCTGTTCGAGTTGAGGTTCCACTACTCTCATGAACTGATCCCTCATCGGGCCGCCCTTGATCGCCTGCATCCGCTTGTCACGATCCCACTGGACATGCTCAAGATGCCTGCCGTCGGGGGTAAACCCTTCTGCTCGTCGATGCGCGATCGAGACATGTGGCACTCGAACTTTCACCAGGGCAGGTCTGTGACCGCGTGGTGCAGCACATTGTATCACTTGCAATATCCTCCCCAAGTCTGAGCATGGGCCTGGCACGCGTAATCTATTCAGACCAGAAGAGTGGTAGGGCCACATGATCAGTCATCGACGCACTCCCTTTTAGAGCCATGGTATGCTGGACAGAATAAACGGATTGCCGTTGGAGACAATAGCCCGAACTCGCGCTTTATTGCCCGAAAGCTCTCCCCAGCCCCTCCTCGATGGCACTCGGTACCTCGTACTTGTCCTGCACTCGTTCCACATCGACCCATCCCGCAGAGACTTTAGATGTGCCCAGGCCGTCGTTGATGTCCCCCATCAGTATAGGATGTACTCTAGGTGGCAGGCCCCGAAGACATTCACGAACCCCTTCTTTCAGTTTCCCACAGCACGTTGAATCTTGTTTGACCTGCTGAGCTCTCGAGGGCCCTGGAGGGAAACAGAAACAGATCACCATGTACAGGAACCCTCCCGTGGACAACTCCACAGATCGACCACGGCCTTGTAGGGGTCCAGGGGGCACAAGAATTTTGCGGATGTTTCTTTGGGTCCAAGCTCGAGGCAGCAGCAGGGAGCATCCCGCCGCTCGTGTCACAAACCCTCCAACCCTCCATCCCGCATGCACTGCCAGCCGCTCCCCGATACACTCTACCCTATACCCTTCACGATCATGCTTTCGAATCTGCACCTGGGAGGCCCACCAGATCAAAGGCACCCAATTCTGAGATCAGATCACTGAGACGATCACCACATGCATGAAGGGGATTGTACACCATAGAAGAAAGAATCCGAGATCCCATGGCGCTGGCCGAGGGCCCCTGGCGGGAGAAGGAAACAGGCCATAAGAAGTGGTTTCATGACCTCTTGTGCTGCGCAGCCCTGCAAGCCTTGGCGGCAGCTGGATGACGAGGAGGACGAGGGGGATGAGGAGGATTAGGAAAAGGAGGAGGAGGAGGAGAAGGGGGAGGAGGAGGATGAGGAAGAGGAGGGGAGGAGGAGGATTAGGATGATGATGAGGAGGAGGAGGACGAGGAGGGGGCGAGACGGATAAGGGAGGAGAGGGGGATGAGGAGGATGAGGGGGATGGAAAGAGGAAGGCGCTAAGGGAGGAAGTGGAAGCTGGGATGATGAGGTCATTGTAATTACTCCGACCGCGCCGGGCACGATAACCCGACCTCCCCCTCTCCTCTTGATGATGATGATGATGATAATGATGATGATACTGATGAGGAAGACGATGATTATGCTAACGCTGACTATGTTGATGATGATGATGATGCTGGTGATGGCGATGATGTTGAAAATGATGTTGATGGTGATGCGGAGCCACGGATCAGGATGGTGGTGATGTTGACTCGCACGCTCGACGCTCGTTCTGATAACGAGGATAATGGCATGATGACGATGATGCTGATGCCGACGATGATGATGATGATGATGATTGATGATGATGGCGACAATGATGATGATGATGACCACCTTTATGATGATGTTGATTTGCACGCTCGACGATCATGCCGATGAATATGAAGATGATGACGACGACGATTATGGTGTTACTGATCATGATGATGATGATGATGATGACGATGCCAATGATGATGACTATGGTGCTGATGACGATAGTGGCACTGATGATGATGATGATGATGATGATGATGATGATGATGATGATGATGACGCGAACGCTCGATTGCTATGACGATGCTGAATCTGCAAGAGACGATGATGGCGATGATGACGATGAAGAATATGATGATGATAATGGTGATGGTGATGATGACGATTGTGATGCTGGTGGAGATGACGACGATGAAGATGATGGCGGTGATGGCTGGGATCATGATGACAACACTGACGGCGGCGAGGGTGATGATGTTGATGATGATGGTGATGATGATGTCGATGACGATGGTAATGACGACGACGGCGACGACGATGATGCCGAGTCTGATGATGATACTGATATGCTGCTGATGATGAGGGCTATAATGGTGATGCTGCTGATGCTGCTGATGACGAAGGCGAAGATGTTGATGATGCTGATGAGGAGGAGGATGCGGATGGGAAGAGAAGGGAGGGTGGGAAACAAATGTGGAGGAGGGAGACGGAAGAGAGAAGGTTTAAGAAAAAGGGGGATAAGAAGGGATTGAGAGGGGAGAGGAGGGAGGAGGGGGGAAGTAGGAGAGAATAACGAGGAGGAGGAGGAAAAGCAAGAGGATCACGATTTTGACGCGCTTCCACCTTGCTGGGTCTTGGGTCTCCTGTCGCCTTGAAGTCCCTGTCAGAATGAACCATTGGGAGAAGCCCGAGGGTCGATGTTTAGGGAGAGCAGAACTAAACTTCACAAAAAGTACCCGGTCCCGTTCACGCTGCCTCCGACGGCCAGCCTGAAGAGCGGCATGTCTGAGGCCAAGCTCACTCCGTGGAGGTGTCGTCGTCGCCCTCGGCCTCGTCGTCCGCGGGCGCGGAGGGCGTTATCTCCTCCACCGTTCTGAAGGGCGTCATCTCCTCCTCCTCTAGAATAAGAAAAATTAACATAAACATAAAACTTTTGGCGCTCCGCGCGGATTTCTTGGATCTGCGCTGGACCCCCTCCCTGGCGCGCGGAGCGCGCCAGGGGCGGCGCCGGAGGCGCCGCCAGTGAGGCCCAGCGCGGATCCAAGAAATCCGCGTGGAGCGCTCAAAGTTTCTGTTTATGCCGTTTCTTCTTCTTCTTCGATCCTCCTTGGCCTTGCGCTCCACAACCCTCAGGGGCCCCGAGCACGGCCTCGGGCAGTACGAGCGGTTCGCCCGGTAGAGGTGCTCCTGCACCTCCCTGAAGCTGGAAACGTCCGAGAGCCCGGGGTACCAGACCCTGTGCTTGTCGATGCCCTCCTCCATCGCCCACATCACCGCGACGAAACACTGGTCGCCCTCGAGGGCGTCGTGGCAGTCGTTGCCTTCCTCGCTGCCGAAATGCTCCACGGGAGGCTCATGGGTATCGTTCTCTGTCTGGTTCCCTGTCTCCTGCTCGGCCTCCACTGGCGTCGAACGGTTCTCCGTCTCCAGCTCGGCCTCAGTCTTCGCTTTGAGGAAGTCGCGCAGACGGTTGTCTTTCTCCTCTGGGACCTCTGCGCAAGGCATCGGGCAGCCAGGTTTGCCGGCCAGATGCATTGCTTTCTGAAACGCTGGGATGGAGGAGTCGCTGGTCAGGCCTGGGTACCAATCAGGGTGCCTCTCAATGCCATCCGACTTCAGCCACGCGATGGCCCGATAGCACCACATGCCTTGCTGCGTGTCGCTGCAACTCGAAGCCTTCCCGTCCTCGTCCCCAATGATGGCCTCGTCGCCAACCTCTGCGCTCTTCTCCAACTTCTCGTTGGAGCTCTCCGCTGCGCCGATCTGCGTGGAGAACAGCTGGCTTGCGACCCCGACGCACGGCCTGGAGCAGTTGGACTTTCCAAGGCTATGCAGCGCAACCTGAATCTCTGCAGCGGTAGAGTTGCTGGAGAGGCCTGGGTACCAATCAGGGTGCCGCGCGAAGCCGCGATCGCGCAGCCAGTCGATGGCATGGGCGCACCGGGAGTCCGTATGGGCATCCTCGCAGTCGGGCCCCGTGGTGCCGAGCTGCATCGGGGAGGTGGCATTCCTGGGGGAACAACAAGGCACCGACACCGCTACTCCCTGGACCTCTCCTGGGATGCGTTCTGACTACAGTTTCGAGGCGAATCCAGCCGCGGTGACGAGGGCCTCCCAGGAGGCCCCACAGTGCGAAAACTAGGCAGGGGCAGCGGTAATTGTTGGCACCTTCCCCTTCTCGGAATTCCTGGGCTCCCAGGTGTACTCGTTCAGCTCTTGGTCGAACTCAGTGTCGTTTACGCTCTCGTTGAACTGCAGCAGCGCCCCAGGCCCCAGCCGGCCCCCGCGAGGGCAAGGCTGAGGGCAGCCTGCCCCGCGGAGGCGGTGCAGCAGCCCCTGGAAGTCGTGCAGGCTGTAGTGGGAAGGGTCGCCTGGGAAGAGCTCGGGGCGCGACTTGGCCCCGTGGTCCCGGGCCCACATCACCTCGGCGGTTCAGAGACAGGGCCCTGAACTTAGCTGCCCCGATACGCAACACGCAGCCCGTCGAGTGTTGACACAACGCCCAACACGCAGATTGGATGCGTAGGTCTGCCGCGATGCGCTTGCCAAAATGCGGGCCAACAACGGTCGTGAAACGTGTTGAACACAGTGCTGCTTTGTTTCAACACGCGCGTATAGCCAAGGCCCAGCAGAAGAATGGGGCGCCAAAGGGCAAGAAGTGGAGCACACATTGAACCTGCCCTGTTTGGGGTTCTTGCCACCAGGGCCCCATCCCTCACGGCCCATTCTTTTCGAGGACGGCGAGAAGGTCCGGTTCATGAAGGGTGATTCCGACGGCTGCTGGGGCGCCTAAGTTCGGGCTGAGTGGATGTCGAGTCCAGGGAAACCGACCTTGTCCACCGAACCCTTCTGGCAGCCTCCGATCTTTGAACCCCCGATCGCCGCGCTGCGGCACCACTCGCCTGGCTCTGGCTCGCCGCACGCAGGCTCGGAGATGGCTTCCGGCGTCTTCACATGGAGAGAGATGCCGGAGCAGCCCACGATCAGCGCAAGCAGCAGCGGAGCCGAATGCTGCACCTGGACCATCGTGAACCTACGCTTGTGTGAATGAACGGGGTGCTGGGTGCCGCTGGCAGCGGCTTGCCGACTTAAGCTCACATGAGCCAAGTGGCTGCACAGGAGAGATGCGAAAAAGAAGGCTTCCCGTCGGGTCCGCCCCACCTGAAGAAAACCTACACGCACGATCCGCCGACACCAGATTTCCAGGGGTGACAACGAAAATCAAATGATCCGCTGCCCCCCTCCCCAAGAGTCCAACATCTCGTTTGCGGAAGGGGGGAGGGCCAGGGGTGGTTCACCCATGAACTCATGAACGAATTTAGGGCTTCAGAGATGATTCTTAAATTGTGCACTGGGCCCCGATGGTCCCGCAACAGCTGTCTCGGAACAAACCAGAATTTCCAGAACAGGCTCTCAGATCGCCCCACGAAGCTTCAAGGGCTTTAATATGTCGCATGGAGTGGTCTCAAGAAGCCACCGTGAGATGGCTCCCCTGATGCGTCCAAGCAACACTGGTTGCTTAATGCCACAGCTTCGGTAACATAGCCCTAGATGGGTTCTAGAAGCCCCCGAGACGGTCGACGAGGCCCCAGCCAACCCACGATTGCCCAAGATGCCCTCAAACTTTCCTCAGAGAGACTGCAAACTGACTCCTCGTCGGCTACAAGACGACTCTACCACGGAGACGCCACCTGGCGGTCCAGAAACCACCCAAGGGGATATGTAGCAAACCCCCAAGATGCTCAGAAAGGACCCCACGAGAGCCCGAGGTCGCTTCTAGAGCGACCCAGGAAGCCCCAAGACGAGCCACTGTGTTCAGTAGCGCGCGCGTTTCGAGCTCCTCCCTCGCCTCCCCTGTCGCTCTCACTCCCCGTTGGATTCCTCCTCCCTCCTCTGGCAGATCAGATCGTGTTTCGTCGACCTCTCCGCGCTGTCCTGCTCGAGCCATTGCTGCAGACTGGGAGGCGCTCGCCACTGCACGTTTGAGGAGCCCGCGGTGTGGCGTCACGGTCTTCAATATGATGTCCGCCGCCGTGGCGTTCAGGGCGGGCTCGATAGGTGCGTTCGGACGGTGGTACAGCAGGAGTTCGCATTCTGGGGGGCCTTTCCCATTTTGCAGGTAAACCATTACACCGCTTGTTCGAGGGCAACCGTTCGCGCTAACTCGCAGGCCGCATTCCCATCGAATCGGGAGTTACAATCGGCCAGGATTCAGGCGGGCGCAGCACTGATAGAGCACGCTCAGGCAGTTGAGACCAATGCGCTCAAAGACTTCGTGGTTGCGATGATTCCAGCCTGTGCGCACGCGACATCAAGCCCCGTATCGTCCAACACCTCTCGTTGCCCATCCACATCCTGCTCCTCCTCTTCCTCTTCCTCGTCCCCCTCCCCCTCCTCCTCCAACAGGCCATCAAGGGCCCTCCGCCCCGCGGTCCCCCCCGCCTCTCTTCATTTTGCGGGTTCTGGACACCCTGGACCCAAAAATGCTGCCATCTCTTGGGAAGTCGACTTTTGCTTCCGCCGGCTTCCGCCGGCGGAGCCGCCGCCGCTCTACTTCCGCCGCCCTCCGCCGACCTTCCGCCGCCTTCCGCCGAGGAAGAGATGGCAACCCCTTCGATCCTGGAGTGCGAGGCCCTTTTCGGAAAGCCCCATTTGGTGAGCTCACCTGGCGGCTCTGTGCACGGAGCGGCGCGCTCAAGTGGCCAATAGCTCGTCCTGCCCTCGGTGGCCGACTTGTGCGCTCACCCTGCCCATGCTTCGGCCTCCCGCCACCCCGCCAGGGTAGCGACCCTCAAAGGGACGCGGGCCCCACATGCGCGGCACCATCGGACCACGACGACGACGACACATACCGCGGAACTTTGTTCTGCGGACGCCTCCCAAATGGGTGTTTTTCGTGCGCTCGCCCAGATCACCATTTTCTGGGCGAACTGGTGCCCCCTCCCGGCCCCAGTGGTACCCGCTACCTCGGCCAAGACGCCCGCGGGAAAGCCACCTGTGCCGAGAGCCTCGCCGCGCGGGGCGAGCGAAGCGGACTCGAGGCCAGCACCTCCTTGCGGCCGCAGCGCCCGCAGGCGAGCTGGCGGGGCAGGCCCGAGGCCTCGTGCCCCCTGCGGAGCGGCGCTCCGCAAGTGAAACGTGAGCCTCCCCGCCCTCCAGCCCTACCGCCCTCCCATTCCCCCCCCCCGTCCATGTCTCTCCCCATCCCTCCCTCACCCCCCCCCCGCCCCTCCCTCACCCTCCCTCCCTGCATCCCTCCTCCCTCCCTCCCTCCCTCCCTCCCTACTTTCTCCCCCCCTCCTTCTCCCGAATCCTCTTCCTCATTCCTCCGTCCTCCACCCTCCTCCTCCTCCTCCTCCTCCTCCTCCTCCAACTCCTCCTCCTCCTCCTCCTCCTCCTCCTCCTCCTCCTCATCCAACTCCTCCTCCTCCTCCTCTTCCTCCTCCTCCTCCTCCTCCTCCTCCTCCTCTTTCTCCTCCTCTTCCCTCGCCTCCTCTGAGACATTATCTTACTTCCCCTCCTCCTTCTCATGCTCCCCCTCCTCCTCATCTTCCTCCTCCTCCTCCTCCTCCTCATCTGCCGTCTCCTCCTCCCCCTGCCTTTCCCCATTTCCTATTCCTCCCCCATCCTGCCATCTGCGCACTCTCCGAGCGAACCCAGGAAATATACACGTGGTGAACGAAACTTCCCCCTTCGTACCCTCCGAGTTCTCTGTACTCAATGTTGTAAATGCTCTGTGGGGGAGCCAGACTCTAGATTCACGGGCGCTACCGTTCGCTTCCAGGCGCTCCTGGGGCGGCTCGTGTAACTTTTGTGGATGCCTCAGGAACATCGCTTGGAACCTACACTTTCAACATGGCGCAGGAGGGCCCCCCATGGTCCGTCATGAGCCCGACACGCCCAAACTATTGACCAAGTGAACGTGGTGCCCTACGGTGCCCGATGGTTGGTGCCCCGTGCTCTGTGCCCTCAAAGGGTGCCCTGTGGTATCTCTTCCCGCCTCCCCCTTCTCGTTCTCGTCCGCATCCGCATCCAAATCATCCTCCTTCCAATTTCCCCTTCTGGACTCCTGTCTACCCACTCCAGCTCCTCTGCACTCATCCGGGATTTTCTCCACTTCTCTGCACTCGCCCGCACCCCTTCTCATTCCTCCGCCGCACCTGTCTGCTCCCCTCCTCACTTATCACCCCGCTCCTCCGCTCGCTATAGATGAGAGGAGCACCTGCGCTGACCTGTGAAGCCAGGAATGAAAACGAGAGAACGTGTTGCAACATCAATGATGGGGAAACCAAGAGGCACCGATACCGCTACTCCCCGGTCTGACCAGGAATCGGGAGCGAACCCAGCGGCGGCGACGAGGGCCTCCCAGGAGAAACAACAAGTGGAAAACGACTCAAGGGTAGCGTTATGGATGCCAAATGGTTTGCTGTTATAGTCTTAAGTCGGGCCTGTCCCCCTACAGGGGGATTTTGGGCGAAAAATAAAAAAACGAATACTTCAAAATGGTCTAACAAATACCCAAAGAATAATCACCAGACTATTGTTAGACAATTTTTAAACATTCCCCCTGTAGAAGGACAGGCCCGACTCGATTATAGTCCTTCTCTTCATCATGCGCCAACGATCCCCATCAGGCCCGGGCACTCCCTCGCGAGGCCTGCGAAGCGCCTCGCGGAGCTAAGAAACATGCAACAGATGAGCGCCCGCCTGTGCTGATATATAGCGCGCCCGTGGCACGTGCCCCGGGATGCGCAGGGCGCGTTCGGAACGCCTTCCACTCCCTCCTGTAACAAGGGACATGTCGACCCTTATCCCTCGACGCTCCAGGGCCGCCCTCCGAGCATCGAGAGGGATCGGACTGCGAGGAGCGAAGGCCGACCGTCGACTGGGCGACCCTGCCAGAGATGCGATCTCGTGATTTTGTTCGACATGTATAACGTCGGCTTCGTGGAGGTCTTGAACGGACCGGAAATGTTGGGCCTGACCCTGGGATATACGAGGGGGGGGCGTCCATCCTCGAAGGGGGTGCGTCCAAATCGCCCTCCTGGGGCGTATCCCAGGGCATCCTTCCTGTTCTGAGCGGCTTCATTCTTCGTCGAAAACTCGGGGAAGAAGAATCGCCTGCTCCTGGGTGAGATGTCACAGGCACACTCAATGCGACCGGGAACGCCTACCCTTCTGTGAGAGGCGAGATGACATCGTGAGCGCGAGCGGCATTCTGAAACGCTCTTCTAGCAGCTCCGCCGGATACACACACACATATATATACATATAACATCTGTTATATATGTTATATATATGTTTGGTTTTCCCATAAGACGCGAGGTTGCACCGCGAGGGTCGTCACGATCGACCGTATTTGCACGATCTCGAAGCGACCCTGCACGAAACAAGCCAACCTTTCTCGCGCAAGACGACGCCCGATTGGGGATGTGATGACATGGCAGACGAGCGGAGCAGATACGAATGGGGTAGGCTTAGGTTGGGCCTGTCCCCCGGCAGGGGGATTTTGGACGCAAAAATAAAAATATTAAAAAATACTCAACAGATGCCAAACAATACTCAAAAAATAGTCCCCATACTATTGTTTGACTATTTTTGTATATTCCCCCCGTAGAGGAACAAGCCCGACTTAAGGACAGGCGTGAAATGCGCAAAGTCCAATGTGCAAGCGCTGTCGCTCCCTCAGGTTCTGTGCTCCGACAGAAAACACGAGAGAGACACCTCGCCTTTCAATCAGCGGGCGCGCCCGACTTAGGACATTCCTGTGCGCGCCCGCGTTTTGCGTTGCAGAGGCACTGCTGTTTACCGCTCTGGGCGCGGATTCACACCCTTCCACGATGCAACCCTGGAGAACGCCATGTTTGTTGCTCCAGGCCTACAGTCGAACATCTGATCAATAATGCATGCTAGAGGAACTCTGGGCCAGCTTCCCAGGAAGCTCCCTGAAACAAGCCTGGGTCAACTTCTGCTGGTGACGCTGGAGGGGGGAACGTGTTCAAGAATCTGGGCCACCCCTCTGGCAAATCTGTGAAATTAGAAGGAGAATCAGGAAAAACAAAGAAGAATAATAATAATAAGAAGAAGAAGAAAAAGGAGAAGACAAGGACAAATAAAGGGCATACACGTAAATTGTTGGCGCTCCGCGCGGCTCTCTTGTAATCTGCGCTGACCCCCTCCATGGCGCGCGGAGCGCGCCAGGGGTGGCGCCGGAGGCGGCGCTGGGGGGGGCCCAGCGCGGATCCAAGAAATCCACGCGGAGCGCCAAAATGTATGTGTTATGGCTGATGTTTTCCTTCGGTCACGCTGCCCCAGTTTTCCCTGAGAAGGCTTCTCAATCAGATGCTGGACTGCATGCCACAAGCGGGCTCCCGAGTCCTGGACTGGCCAGACGGGGGATAACAGGGGACCTTCGATGCCCGACGCTGCGATCACTTCCCCCTCCTCCTCACCCTCCTCCTCCTCCTCCTCCCTCCTCCTCCTCCTCCTCCTCCCCCCCCCCCTCCTCCTCCTCCTCCTCCTCCTCCCCTCCTCCTCCTACTCCTCCTCCCCCTCCTCCTCCCCCTCCTCCTCACCCTCCTCTCCTCCTCCTCCCTCCTCCCTCCTCCTCTCCTCCCTCCTCCTCCTCCTCCTCCTCCTCCTCCTCCTCCTCCTCCTCCTCCTCCTCCTCCTCCTCCTCCTCCTCCTCCTCCTCCTCCTCCTCCTCCTCCTCCTCCTCCTCCTCCTCCTCCTCCTCCTCCTCCTCCTCCTCCTCCTCCTCCTCCTCCTCCTCTCCTCTCCTCCTCCTCCTCCTCCTCCTCCTCCTCCTCCTCCTCCTCCTCTCCTCCTCCTTCCCCCGGGACCGGCTCTTCATCCCGAGCCGTCTTGCTGGACAGCGAGCCTGGCGAAGGCCCCCAGAGCCCCAGAGCAGCCAGGGGCCCTCCCGTCGCGGCGCTCCCTCGGATCTGACGTTGCCCAGGGATCGCAGCACCGCGCGTGAATGAAGGGGCCCAAAGACACACAAACAAATACACACAACTGGGTGGTCGTCTTCCCCCCACTTCCCACATGTTCCTATATTTTCGGGGGGATCGACGATTAATTCTGTCTGTGTTTTTTTTTGTCCGTCCTGAGTGAAGGGCCGGATAAACATACCCAAAGCCCCCCCCTGGGGCCACAGGAACTGAACAATCTTGGATCCCCGATCATCTCGGAGCCCGAAGCTGACATCAGCCGTGGGGCCCCGTGCTGGAATAAGAACGACCCGCCGAGCCCCGACGCCGCCCTCCCCTGCCCTCCCTCCGCCTTCCCTCCCTCGCTGGCTCTCCCTTGCTGCTTGTTGGGGAGTCCGAGGGCCCGCCGGGAATGGCGCTCCCAAGCTACCAGCCAACGCCAGAGTTATTGTGGCGCCGAGGGGGTGGGGTATCAATCTGCCACGACAGAGGCATGCTTGGATACCCCACCTGCGAGCATATACTCCCAGCCACAAAAGAAACAAGTACGAAGGCGGCACGGCCGTTGGAGGTCCGACGTGGACTGTCCCAGCTGGAGCGTTCAGGCATTCCGAAATGGGGGAGAATGCGGTGGTGGTTCTCGTGTTAAGCAATGCGCTTCGTTATGCGACGTGCGAGAGTCCATAGGCACACTTCGTTCTGCAAGCGGACAAGGAAGCGGAGTACAACTTGCCTAGAAGAAGCAATGCCTCACAAATATACATGCCTTGGGTGGGGATCACCTATATATGTACATATATATATATAGATATAGATATGGCCCACGACACAAAATCACCGCTGGAGCCCCGGACCCCATCTTTCAGCGTCATCTTTCTAACCAGATCGATCTGTGAGGGTCCCGCGGCGCGACAGCCGGCGACAAGACCCGGCTCGAAAAATAACGACGCCAGGATCTCAGGGTTTTCGCGACGCGAGCGTGTGTCGGGGGCGTCTCCACCCTCGACGGGGGCGCATCGGGGCCCTCGGCCCAAGGCGGCCGCGCCCAGCCCCGAAGAGCGCACGGGCCCGCCTCCAGTCCGAGCAGCCCGGGCCCGGCCGCCGCCAGGGCCGGCTGCGCTCCGGCGCGCGCCTCGCCCTCCTCGCGGCGGCACGCGCCTCCTGAGATCCTGGCGTTGCAACTTCTTCGCAGCGGGCGTCTGCGCCCCGCTTCGCTCCCTGGGAGTCTTCGCAGATCGATCCGGCTCCACACATGGCGCAGCAAGATGGGGCCTGGGGCTCTGGCGGTGATCTGCTGCGTTGTTGCAGTGTGTGCCTGCAACGTTGGATCTGGAGGTCTCCTCCAGCCCTCCTCCTTGCAGATCACTCCTATGTCGCCGTCCCATCCTTGTCCTGTTCCCCCCCCCCCTCCTCGCCCAGGTTTTCCTCCTTCTCGCTCCTCCCCGTCCTTCCTGCTCCTCATGTTTTTGTTTTTTTGTTTCTCCTCGGCTCCCTCTCCTCCGCCGCTCCCGCCTCCGCCTCCTAGTCCTGCCTCTTCTCCTCCGCCTCCTGCTCCCTCCCCCCACATCCTCTGTCCTTATAGATGACTCCTGCTTGTCGCACGCCCAGACGTGTCCGTAGGGGGGCCGGGCAATTCGCCTGACACTTCCTCAAGACCCATGGTCCTGGGGCTAGAAATTCGCGGCAGCTTCGCGCGGATGGAGCACATGTCGTTTTCAACATGAGGCTGATTCGTTTTGCAATCTTGCAGCAAGTGCAGGCATTGAGGGCGGGATGTGGTCAAAATGGAAATCTTGATTTCGAGCCGCGCGCGTTCGTTTGTCGTAGAAATGGGCAGCAGTTAAGATGGAGCGCGTGTTTTTGCCGCAGCGCCGCGCACACTCGTCCCACAAACCTGCAGCAGTTGCCAGGACGGGTGACGGCTCTTTGTCCACAGGGGGATCTGTCCCGAGACCCCCTGACGCGTGAAGACGAGGGTGCTCAGCGCAAGGAGCAGCTGCACGGAGAAAGGGCGGTTCCTGCCAAAGCGGGGCCGTCGCTTGAGAGGTCCTCGGTGCTCGTGGCCAGAAGCGCAAGCTTGTGCCACAGAGTGCGCGGGTGCTTGTGTGTGTGTGTGTGGGTGCGTGCGTGCGTGCGTGCGTGCGTGCGTGCGTGCGTGTGTGTGTGTGTGTGTGTGTGTGTGTGCGTGTGTGTGTGTGTGTGTTGTGTTGTGTGTATGTGTGTGTGTGTGTGTGTGTATGTGTGTGTGGGTGTGGGAGGGGCGGCGGTTTTTCAAAGCGGGGATCCCTCAAGACACCGCGCTGAACTGCATGATCATACCCTTTCAGGGTCCTGGGTCTGCGCCAGAAGGACGCACTGCAGTTCCTTTTCAGAGGCTGGGCCCTCGCCTGAATGGCAGACTCGTGGTTGCTGGATGTTCAAGGGGCACGTCCGCTTGCAATGAAGAAGAAAGGCTTGCAGGACCTTCAGCCTCCCGCGAGTCCACAAACAAAAACATCCCGCGAATCTCCAATCTCCAAACCATCTTCCCACAACTCTCCGAACTTCAAAAAATTCCCCGCGAATCAAAACATATTCGCGTCTGACAATCCGCAGACGAACGCGGAAATCACAATCACATCTGGCCTAACCGAACCAATCAACAACGAACATAACGGAACTGTATCAATACCAAACCCGTACAACATGGGACTGACTGTGCCCGGACGCAAAACGGAGTTGGAGAAGAGAGATCGGCAGGGACCCATGGCGGCCCCCCACAGAGGGCAACCTGCAGGGGGCAGCCTATGCAAAGGCCTCCGATATGGGGTCGGAAAGGATTGGGTATGAAGATCGCGCCACATCGCCGATACATCGGCGATGCATCGGCGATGCACCGCCGGCGATGCATCGGCGACGTCGACGTGAAGCAAATCAGGCCCCACATCGCGCCGCATCGCCGATGCATCGGCGATGTGGCGCGATCCTCCGGCCCCATCTACTCCGACCCCATCTAGGAAGCCTAGACTGCGGGGGGCGACCGATGGAAGGCAACCTGCCGGGGGGGGCCGGTAACCTGGGACCGCCCGCGGGAATCTCCAGGAATCTCCATGAGATCTACAAGGATTTCGAACGCGCCGAAGATGCCAGACGCAATGTGTTACATATTCTCCCTGGAATTTCCCAAGCAACGGATGTATGCATACACGCACATATATATATATGTATATATATACATATATATATATATATATATATTGTGTATAGACTAGAACCATCGCGCGCGCATCGCGCGCGTTCAAGTTCTAGTTAGGCTTGATTGGCTAACTCAAGTAATATCATTTTGGTCGCTTCTTGGGTTCTGTTCTGGGAGGTTAGGGAAGTCTGAATTGTGATCTGCTGTGCAAGAGTAGACTGGGGGCCAAACTGGGCAAAACAAAAGAATTGTGGGATTTCCATGTTTTTCCAATTCCTCGGCGCTGCTCGGCGCTGTTTTTTGTTTGTGCCTCGCGGACTTTGTTAGCTGGGTCCCTCAGGGGTGTGGGATCTTCCGGACCCCTGGGGTTCTGGAGGCCTCCTGGAGGCCTGGAGAACCGTCCACAGGGTGTTTTAGACTGCTTGGGAGCGTCTTGGGCCGTTCTTTACGTTATGGCAGCTTCTTGGGGTCGTCATGGGCTGTCCTTTAGCGTCTTGGGGTCTCCCCAAGAAGCCGGGAGGCGCGGTACCGGCCAGATGTTAGGGGATGTGTAGGACCCCCGAGTAGGAGTTCTACTCTGGAAAAAAATATTGGAAGTCCCTCTCTCCTTTTTCCCAACCATCCTGTGGTGTTGGGTCCTCGTTTTGAAGAGACGTCGCCCCGCGTTCCTCTCCTCCTCCTCTACTCCTCCTCCTCCTCCTCATCCTCCTCCTACTCCTCCTCCTCCCCCTTCCTCTCTCCTCCCGTCATCATCATCATCATCATCACCGTCATCATCATCATCATCATCATCATCATCATCATCATCATCATCATCATCATCATCATCATCATCATCATCATGATCATCATCATCATCATCACCATCAGCGTCAACATCATCGTCGTCATCACGACCGCCATCATCACCAGCATCATCACCCATGTCGGCACACGCCTCACACGCTTCGTGGCCCCATAGGGAGCTCCACCGAAGGCCCCAGTGCCACCGCCCGCATGCGTCCCCCACACCCATTTCGGCACACCCCTCACACGCTTCGTGACCCCATAGGGAGATCCACCGAAGGCCCCAGTGCCACCGCCCGCATGCGTCCCCCACACATTTCCCCTCACACGCTTCGTGGCCCCAAAGGCCCCAGTGCCACCGCCCGCATGCGTCCCCCACACCCATTTCGGCACACCCCTCACACGCTTCGTGACCCCACAGGTAGTTCAACCGAAGGCCCCAGTGCCACAGCCCGCATGCGTCCCCCACACATTTCCCCTCACACGCTTCGTGGCCCCATAGGGAGCTCCAAGGCCCCAATGCCACCGCCCGCATGCGTCCCCCACACCCATTTCGGCACACCCCTCACACGTTTCGTGGCCCCATAGGTAGTTCAACCGAAGGCCCCAGTGCCACTGGCCTCATGGGGAGTCCCACCGAAGGCCCCAGTGCCACCGCCCGCATGCGTCCCCCACACCCACTTCGGCACACCCCTCACACGTTTCGTGGCCCCATATGGTGCTCCACCGAAGGCCCCAGTGCCACCGCCCGCATGCTCTCCCCCCCCCCACACGCAATTCGGCACACCCCTCACACGCTACGTGGCCCCATAAGCGCACCGGCCCGGGCACCGTGGGCGGAAGTCCTGCCATACACCGCACACGGCGTGGGACGCAGCGGTGGAGGCGGTCGGCGGAGAGCACACGCTGCGCGAGGGGGAGGCCGCCAAGGCCGGCGGAGGCCTTCCGAAAAGGCAGGGGCACTCACAGAGGCGCCGGGATGCTTCGCAGAAGGCTTTCTGCCTAGGTGCCGGGAGGGCCCTCCCGCCTTCTTGGAGGCACTCCAGGCATCTTCGAGGTCCTGCCCCCGCTGCCCCTCAGTGCGCGCTGCCAATCGTCCACCGCCACCCTCCTCTGCCTCCGCATCCTGTGCTGTGCAGTGCGCGGCGGGACCTCCGGACACGGTGCCGGCTGGTGACGCCTGCTTCGGGAGGGGATCTTGGGACAGGCTGGACGGCCCCCCGCAGAGCCAGCGCAAGGCCCAAAAGCTAGGGGCAGCGGCAGAGGGGGCCGGGCCAGCTGCTCCGAGCGCTGCCTGCACGGAGAGGGCGAGCAACGATAGGACGATCCTCAGCCCCCCCCTCCTCCTGGACGGTCCAGCAGGTGCTGGTAGTACGCCGCAGGCCTGCGCACGGTCTGGCACGCGTTGTTCACCAGGACGTCCAGCCACGGCTCGCCGTCGAGCAGGTCCTCGGGGCCGAGGCCGGCCATGCGAGCGACGGGCCCGCCTGCCTGGACGCCTCCTCGCTCAACCGTTTCAGTCGGGGGGGGGGGGAACGGAGGAGGGGGCCGCCCACTTGGAGCAAATAGCCGTCCAGCTCGTGCTTACGAGCGGAGATGGTGCGCAGCTCGAAGGTCCTGTCTCCAACGCTTCTGCTGCGACATCCGCGCTGCTCGTGGGCGAAAACCATATGCGTATCCGCGGCCTCGCGGGCCGGGACCCGCGGGGCGTTTTTTCCCGGATGCCCCTCTCGGAACTATATCCGAGCGACCGCGTATCCGAGAGACCGCGCCCCGGAATCCAGACCGCGAGGGCACAAATACGGATGTGTTCGCCGCTCGTGAGCAAGGCTCGCAAGGGGGGTTGGACGGCCCCTGAGATCCGACGGCGCGAAAAATTAGAAATCGTGAAAAATCGCGACCCGAGCCCTAGACCCCACCGTCCTGCACCATTTGTCGAGCCGGATCGATTTGTGAGGGTCCTGGGCCCACATTGAGCGAAAACGCCCGGTTCGAAAAAATGATTCGCCAGGATCTCAGGGACATCCACCCACTGGGAACATACACAAACGTGCGGTGCCGGGCGGTATTTTGCGGGCGGGGACGTGCTCGCTGCTGCTCGCGGCGCGGGCGACTTCGTTACAGCTTGCCGGCCGCGCCCCAGAAGCAGCGGGGGAGGGCCGCAGCGCCATGCAGTACAAGGCTGGGCATGTGCGCAAGTTCGCGGCAGGACGCAGCGGATGGAGGCAGCTACGGTCGGGGGGAGGAGGAGGAGGAGGAGGAGGAGGAGGAGGAGGAGGAGGAGGAGGAGGAGGAGGAGGAGAAGGAGGAGGAGGAGGAGGAGATGGAAGAGAAGGAGGATCGAATTTCCAGGATCGAGGAGGAGCAGGAGGAGGAGGGGAAGAGAAGGAGGAGGAACCCAGCGTAGGGGGGGCGGCGCGTGTCTTCCCGCCTACAGGAAGGCGAGCGGGGTGGGCGCGCCTGTGACGTCCACCACGACGGAGCCCGTCGCGTCCGCGCAGGTGGAAGGGACGATGGCCGCGGGTCGGCCGACACAGATAGCCGTATTTATATCAAGGGAGGAAAACATTGATGACCTTATGATGGCAGGCGGCGATGCAGGCATGGGGGAGAGGAGGCGAGGCGAGACAGCAGAGGGCAGCAGCAGGGAGGACTCGAGAGACGGAACGGAGGGGGAAACAACGGGCGAAGAAACGATGAAACAGTCGGGCACAGGTGAGCAGGGACGAGTAGAGAGGACAGCGGGGGATCCTCGAGCGTGGCAGACGGCCTCGCAGCGGATGGGATGGAGGAATGTGCGAGCATTCGGGCGAGCGGCCTCGAGAATATTTTCAGCCCTGCGCTCACTGTCGCCGTTATCAATAGCGGTCGCGCCAGGACCAGAAGTGAGTCGTGACATCCTCGAGCAGGTGGCAATCCTCGTCAGCGCGGAGGGGGAACCACTCGAGGCAATCCTCGACGACGTCGCAATCGATGGGGGCGCGGAACAGGAGCGTGGGGTAGTCATCTTCGGCAGACAGGCGGAACTCGACCTCGGCGACCCCACTCGGTGTCGGCCCAATCCTCGCCCAGGTGGCAATCGGGCAAGGCACGGCATACTCCGCACACTGGCTGGGGACCAATTCCCCTCGTTCCACCCCAGGGTCGCAGAGACCAGCTTTTTCACACGCGTCCAGCAACAATGGTGACGACAGAGCCTGACGCAACGGGCTCGAGGAGCACCCGTGCTCAGGACTTTGCGTTCTGCCAGATTTTCCTCCGACGTCCAGCGGGAGTGGCGACATCTGAGCCTGCCGCAACGGGCTCGAGGAGCACCCGGGCGCAGGACTTTGCGTTCTGCCAGATATTCCACCGACATCCAGCGACAGTGGCGACGCCTGGGCCTGCCGCATCGGGCTCGAGGAGCACCCGTGCGCAGGACTTTGCGCTCCGCCAGGATCGATCCCATCCAAGTCGCTGAGAGGGCCAACTCGTTCTGGTGTGGCAATCAATGTCAGAGGTGTCGAGGGTGCGGGCTCACGGAGGGCTCCTTCGTCATCACTGTGCACTGTAGGCACCAGCCGCGGCGTGAGGCATGGTGGAAGACCAGGGGCCGATCCTTCTCTATCCACATCATCAGCGTCAACGTCGCTATCTTGCTCAGCGTCACGTTCAGCAGGACCGTCGGCCTCAGAAGTGGAGTGCTCGTCTGTGATCGAACGCAGGACAGGAATGCACGGGGGCGGCGCCTTCCACTTCTTATCAAGCTGGTCAGTCGGCGACGCCATTCGCAGCGTTCTGACAGCAGCACGGGCAGCAGAGCGCAGAGCAGAGGGAGAGACCCAGTCGCGATACCTGATGGTGTGATACGTTGCGTACATGACTACAATCTCCTCAACTCTTTCCACACACGGCGCAGTCAAGCACAGTCGCTCATGTAGAAGCGCAGGAGGCGAGCGTCCAAGAGCATGTCCCACGGCACGACACAGACGGCGGCAACGAACGTAATGACATTGTCTGTCTGCAGATGTGCTGCAGCCGAAAATGCATCGCCGACGACCTGACGTGTAACATTTGCGATAACTTGTGAGCCGCGCAGATGCCCATGTCTTGATCACGGGGAAGACCCAGCCCGTAGGAAGCAACTGCAGCAGCATCCGATTCGCCTCCCACGGCACACGGTGTAGGAAGGGTTCGCACATGTCAAAGTAGCGGGCGAGCCTGGTCTCAAAGACCGTGTGGAGCGGGAAGGGGGTCACGACCTGCTCGTAGAGCGCAGCTGTGGCTGCCCGTTGGTACTTGAGCTTTCGCCCAGTGACTAGCAGCTCCGTGGAGATCGCCGTCGTGCAGCAGCGCGGAACTTCCGATGGATATCCAGCTCGAGCCGATCCCTCTTGCAGCCGAGAGTAAGTTTGCAAAATGGGTGGCATCTTCCAGTGTCGCCCTGCATCACAGAGCCAATCTAGCCGAGGTCGGATGGAAGCTAATGAGGCGTCATCAAACCGACCATTCAGGATATCAGAGTTCCATGACTGTGTGGCAAGTGAAAAAGTAAAACGTATGTGAGAGTGCTCGCCGAACGTGATGGAGGCAGCTCGAGCAAGAGCAGCAGCGCACGAGTGTTGCACGAGAGGGATTATGGGGCCTCCCCAAGCGGCAAGCTGGGCCCAGCCAGAGGCAGGTAGAGCACCCATGGGAGCACGGAAAGTTTGAGCAAGCACAGAGCGCTCGAAAGTGGCCATCCTGGGAGGCAGAGGGTAAAACTGGGCCAGGTAGGACAGGACGGGGATAGCCCGCGATCGGTAGAGCACGCCATTGATCCCCAAAGGAGCTGAGCCTGACCCAGGGAGCCTGGCACGTAGCTTCAGTTTCATCCTCGCTGCGTCCCGCTGCATTTGCATCGTGACATCTGGTCCCAGGAGAACGCCGAGGTACATCAGGTGCGCAACGATCTCGAACACCTGCCAGTCAGGAACCAACCGGCAGAGAAGCTCACGGGCACTAGCGAGCAGGTCAGGATCGAACGTCGCGTGCAACGGGGTGACCTTGCATTTGCTGACCTGAAGGCAGAGCCCCGTGAGATGCCTCGTAGTAGTCATCACACGGAAGAGCACCTGAAGACCCCGAGCCTCGAACAAGACAGCCCCAACATCGTCGGCACAGGCCCTCGCGAGGCCAAGTCCAGCATCTTCCAGGGAATGGCCCAGGTCAACCAGAAACGGGGCCGTGCTCAGAGCGTAAAGCGTCCCAGAAAGGCCGCAGCCTTGAATGATCCCAGACCTCAGCCAGTAAACAGAGCGGAGCAGGCCACTGCGGGCCACAACACCTTCGATAGCAGAGTCCAGCCAGGCCAGGAAGTATAGGACAGGCGCAGGCAAGCGCAGGTGGGCCAGGAAGAGCATCATAAACTCCTTTGAGGGCTCGGGAAGGCCTGGCCGAAATCGAACGAGACCAGAAGCGGCAACCAGGTCGGAGCCATCGGATGGGCCCCACCAGTACGACTGAAGCCATCTAACTCTAAGATGTTGTACTCGAAGTTACGGCCCCGCACGAAGCCGCGCTGCGACTGAGGGACGACGGCGTTCACAACTCCTCTAAGTGATCGGTTCACGGCAGACGTCAGAATTTTCAAGCCGGTGTTGCGGAGCCCAAGGACTCTGATCTTATCGGCGGATCTGATGCAGCCTCCAGAGGCCATGGCGTCGCGCTCCGATCCCTTAGGCAAGCACGCTTGGAGGGTGACGCTGGCCACATCGAAGAGGGACTGGCCACGCAAGATCCAGTCCAACATGAGGCATAACACTTCCAGGCGGCAGTCGGCAGCAGCCCGGGCCGCATGCGGTATCCCGTCGACACCAGGGGCAGAGTGACGGGCACGAGTGATAAGATTTCGAATAGCAGCCTTCGGCGGGGAGGAACGTCGGGGAGCATAGGGGGCGGGCGCTGTTGTTCGATAAATTTCTGAGCAGCTTCCAAGTCGACATCCGATCGCGAGAAGACAAGGCGCCAGTACTCAGTAAGGGCCGCGACTCGATCCCCAGGTGATTCTGCTAACCGAGGGCCATCCCGCACAGCACGCAATACCAACCTCCGAGAGAAAGGGGCCCAGATCGCTGCTTGCCGTTCCAACGCCTGGCGACGACGATACGAGGAGGGCGGGCGACTCGGACGATTACCTGCAGCAGAGCCAGCAGCAGCGCGTATTTCTTTTTCCAGGAGCCGCATGTGGACTCCGTCCGTCCACATGTGGAGCGATTCAGGGTGTCGAAGAGCAACTTGTGGGCCTTCGGTGTCAAGTAAGCTGGCTGCGGTGGCCGAAGTCGCCACCAGACGACGAGCAAGACGTGAGTCCTGCCGCCACGCAGCACGGGCGCATCCCCGAGCGACCAACAACGCAGTTTCATCTCCAGCAGGATGGGAGATGAATAACCAGCCACGAACTTCTCTGGCAACTTCCTTCAGCATGTCCTTGAAGTGCTCCTGGTAGACCGACGTAGAGCACCTCGTCTCAGCGCCATCTCCGTCCTTGAAGATGCCTTCAATACGTTGCCGAATAAGATGGCTCTCGAAGACATGGCGAGGTATGGGCTGCTCCGCCCGCGGCCGTGCATGACGTTGACGCAGTACCGTTAGCAAGGCAGCATGGTCCGATATCAGGGATCGCGACAACACTTCTGGTTCCCCAATGGTAGAAGACTCCTCACATAGCTGACATAACACCCACCCGGGCAACGATCAGAAGAACCGATCCAGGCAACTGACCGAGTTGGTGTCCTTCGTGTAGTGCGTCGGCGACTTAGACGATATTTCGAGCAGCGAGCCCAGCGCCCTCAGCCAACGAACGGCCATTGCACGAGGATTACGAGGATCCGATGCACGAGCAGGCTCAGGGCGATGGAAGAGCAAGGCCTCCTCAGGGCCAAAGATGAGGTCACCCTGCACGATCGCCAAATAGTGAAGAGGATCAGCCGCCGCACGTCCCCGAGCAGCGTCGATCTCAGCACATATCTCGTCGACCTGACGAGTACTGAGCCCATGATTGTGGGTATCTAAGTGCACCGGCTGGAACCCTCGCCCGACGACGTCAACCCGAAGGGCCCTTCCTTCCACGACGGCCGAGGCATTGCTGGCAACATCAAGATCGAAGGCGAGCTTCAGAAGAATAGTGGCGACACCTCCCGCAGCCGATCCCCCATCATCAGCTGGACAAAACGAGGCGTGAACCACGGCATCACGATGAAGACGGCGCATATAGTCTTCGAGTTGTAGACGGTCTTGGTGCACTTCTTGAAGTGCCAAGATACACCTGGGCGAGTGAAACTTCTTCAAATAAGACGACTTGAGTCTACTCTTAGCTCCTCGGTACTGTAACACAGCGCGAGCATTCCAAGTGATGAATCGCATGAATTCATTCTCGTTCCCACAGGAAGGGGGTGTCAACGAGCTGCAAGAAGCCGTGAAAGACACCACTTCGTCGGAGCAGGGGGCGCAGTAAGCTCGTCCACCGCACGCGTGAGCGAGAGGTCCAATATGCCCTCATCGTTGAACTGCACGTCGTACGGAGCGTACTCAGGGTTCGCCTGGATCTTGAGCACATTGGTCCAGCCGCTCTTGAGGATGCCACGATCACGGTCGATAGACCACCTCCCACCAAACTTCTCAGCACACGCTCCACGAATTTTACGAAGTACCATCTCTGTCTTGACCTGGCGAGGGGACTTGTCAGGCCCCAGGTGTAGGCGGGCCTCAGCGGCTGCGCCAGAGGCCTGCACGTTGAATACTCTCCACTGGTCGTTGCTGCGGAGATTACTGAAGACCTTAGCGACCTTCTTAGAAGCGAGGCCTGTGGCCCCGTTGAACTGAATGAGGAACCTGCGAGCAGGCGTCGGCGTCGGGCAAGAGAGAGTGTACTGGTCAGCTTCGAAACAGAGCTCGGCGAGGAACGGCGACAATACGTCACGGACTTGCGGGAGTCCCACCATCTTGGTGCACATCGCAACCACCACAGCAGGGTCTGTCTGGCGGTCGAAGCTGGCAGGGGGCGAAGGGGCGGCTTCCTGTCGCTTGGCCCTGTGCAATCCATCACGCAGCTCAGCAATCTCCGCACGCAGCTGGCGCAACTGCTCCGTGTGTGCGTCCAACTCGATGTTGAACGTCGCAACCTTGACCTGTAACATCATCAATCTGGCGCTGCATCTTCCGCGAGAGTTCATCCAGCTGTGGCCTGAATACTCCCATGGCTTTCTGATCAAGCTCTGCAGGTTGTTCTTCCAATTGTTTTTGAGAACCTCCAATGTGCGTAGAATGTTGGCATTGCTGGCTTTGACCGTGTCTCCAACCGTCGAGGCGACAAGATTCTCCAGCTCCGCGCGTAACGCATTGAACTGGGATGCGACGCCGTCGGCGACCACAGACTTGATATACTCGTCGGAGTACTCCAGGTTGCCAGGAGTGGCGGGAGAACACCACGAGCTACCCCCTGCGCGGACACCAGCAGCAGGAGGAGGATCACCAGGAGCAGGAGGAGTCGCAGTGCCCGTTTGCAGCTCATGGCGGCCGAAGACAAGCGCGGCCCCAACAGCTGCAGCACGGGAGGCAAGGCCGGCGACAGCCTTGCCACTGCTAGAGGAACCCTTGCCTTCCTCGGTACGCGGGTACTTGAGCACGGGCGAGCCTTGGACCCGATGGCCATCAGCACGATCATCATCAGGGAAGGTGGGCATATCTTCGATCTCCTGGGCGCATCGGGCCAGCGCAGCAGCATCTGGGAACCCCATGACAACTGGGACGATCGCTCGCACAGGAACGGGAAAGGCCTCCGTTTACCCGTGGGCGCGAGCGTCGGAGCGATGAACGAACTCTGCCAGACCACCAAGGGTCTTGTCTGCCGCGGACTAGCGGTATGCACTTGTTCCACTGAGGAACCTTGCATCTTGAGCCAAAATGGCTACGGAAGAGAAGGAGGAGGAGGAGGAGGAGGAGGAAGAGGAGGACAGCTAACGTCGAGAACTTTTGCATAGCGTGTCGCCGTGGCGGCCCTGGCGACACGGTGTGCCCTGGGAGTTGATCACGTGTCGCTCCGCTCCGCCTCGGAAAGGCTCGGGACATCGACGCTGGGGGACTGGGAGGTGGACAGCGTGTCGCGCCCAAGCGGGGTGGGCCCAAAGCCAACGGAGCAACACGCTAAGCCAGAGTTCCCAATCGTCGGCCCGCCCCAAAGATGCCTCCAAGGGCGCACCCAGCGGCTTTCAGGGACCCTGGGGGCCTCTTGGTCCACGATCCATACACGGCGAGGCAACAGTTCGCGGCAAGAGGCAGCGGATGGAGATGCTCTGGGCCCACTCGGTGCACCCCGCAGCCCTGTCGAGATGAATGCCGAACGCAAGTCCAGGCGCTTCGTCTTTTCTGGGGACACCAAAAGGTACCGATACCGCTACTCCCCGGACCTCTCCTGGGGCGCGTTCTGACCAGAATTTCAAGGCGAATCCAGCGGTGGCGACGAGGGCCTCCGAGGAGGCCCAAAAGGGGAAAACGGCCGAAGGGTGGAGGTATGGGTACCTTTTCCTCCTCTGATTTCCACCAGACTGGCGGAAGGCTGGCTTCACTGGGACAACATTGGTGCATTGCGGTGCCCCCGATCCTTGCAGAAGGCCTCGACCGCCCCTAGGAAGCGGAAGTCGACGCCCCGGATCGCCAAGCGATCGCCCCACTCGGCCGAGTCGCTCTCGGCCCGGTATCTGCGCGCGGCGTCGGCTGGGAAGCGCGTGGTGGCGATCACCTCTGGAACAGCCAAGGAGCAATCACGCCGTCCCTCCATCCCTGACCTCGGGCCGTGGCCTGTCATTTCCTCCTCCCTCCCGTGGGGAGCAAGCCCGTGGAGTTGGCCTTGGACCTGGAACCAACTTGGCGAATGAACCCCGTCATTAATTTCACGGGAAGGCGCGACAGGAAGGAGGAGGAGGAGGAGGAGGAGGAGGAAGGAGGAGGAGCAGGGAAAAGGAGGGGGGCAGGGAACCAGATCTGATCAGAGACCGGGAACCAGGAGGCCACAAGAAACAGTCGGATGCTACCCTCGTCAACTCTCGCCGCCACTGCCGTCGCCTCTCCTGGGCGTGGCGCGTCCCGGGCGGCCCTGGCCCCCTGGGGGGCATGAATCCCCAATCGAGCACGCTGACAATTCGAATGGACCCGCTGAGAAACTAAGCAGCGAGAGCACGCAGGACAGCAAAATGAAGAGCGAACAAGACTTGGAAGGGAGGGCAAGCAGAGGCCGAGCAAGTAGCGGAAAGATGTGAAGGAGGTGCGGGGAAGCGTGAGGTCATGGGCGGGATGTGGCATGCGAGCTCGTGATCACCCTTGCGCCCATCCGCAGCAACTTCAAGCACACTGCGAACCCGATCTTGACTCGCGCGCCAGTCACGAGAC